GCACCTAAAAGCCTTCCATTTTCTTAAAAGCTCAAAGCGCGCCTCAAAATCCGATGCGCCTCGTGTGTGGTCATTACGGTAATATTTCAACCCCCAAAATGGCGCCTTGCTCGAGACACGCTGACAACGCAGAGTTCAAACTGGAGGCGATCGGTTACGCAGTGGAACACGGAAATCGAGCGACGGCAAGAGAGTTCGACGTTAAAGGGTCAACGTTGCTGTTGGTTAAGTGAACCGTGTCGCTGCTTTATTCAATACATTTGACTGACACCTGATCGTTCTGTCGGCATTTCCTTGAGCGTAGCTCCATCTAGTGGATGCCTTGTAGATTGCGTCTTATAATCCAGTGCACCTTTTAGTGGGGAAAATACGGTACACGGGCTAAGACGACTGCAAGTTTGGTGAGCTTGGGTTGAAGAACTGACCGACTGAGTAAAGTCGTGAATGGAACCTGGTTTCAAGAATGTGTACATGGTAGATGCACGGTCTCGATGCTTTGCTGCTTATTCTTTGCGCCGTTACAAACCACGGCAGACGAATCATCATCCGAACTGAAAACCCGGCGTACGTTTTAAGCGCTTTGCCACACAAATCCGGGAGAGAGCTGCAACCCGACGACAACAGTGAAATAAACCACTCAATCCGGTTCCTGACGTGACTCATTCGGCGACGCCCCTTAAAGGCATACATCCAACATACGAATACTATTTAAAAAAAAAAAAATACAGTCACGGTGGTTGGCAAAATGAGTTTTAATCACATCATTCGATGCGTGCTGACATAAGTGGCAATTGCTTTCGACGCAAGCGGTCACAGAAAGGCGAGTCTCCGGTGTGAAGATTCACACTCGACATTGGAAGCACGACGTGCGCTATTTCTGTGCCGTAGCTTATACGCGCGGCTGTGAAAAATCCGGTGCTGATGGCCAAAGCAAGAGAAGCGCATTTGAGTCGTTCTGACACTTCAATTAATTTGGGGGTTTTAATAAGCATCGGCTGATGCCGACAACGAGACCGACAACGACGACGACAAAAACTTCCCGGGAAAAGGTCATAGAGCGATCGTTGATTTATTTTTGTTTGTGTTGTTCACAAAGAAGACGGCGAAATCTGCAAACGCACGGCGCAGAGTATTTATAGGCCATATGTGCTGTTTTGATTACCAGCAGGAATTTAATTAGCTTTCTTTATCTCAAACAGGGGCACCGCCGAGAGTGCACACAAAACAAGCGCGCGCGTTCAAACCGCAGGAGTGAACAGCGGGGCTTGGAAATCACCACCAAAAATATACATCCAAGCGACGGGGGGGTTCCCCATGCTGGCCATTTGTGTCCACTTGACTCGCTGTGGATGTTGAATGTTGCGATATTGATATTCTTGCGGCGAACGACGGCCCGGGGGCTATTTGCGGCCTTCCGACCCATTTTTCGCGACATGACAGTAAAAAGAAAACTAATATAGTCAAAATCATCGTGTACCTCTGTTCTTTTTTGGGGGGTTCTGAATGCGGAGAGGCGACTGGATTTTTTTTTTTTTTTGGGTTCTGAATGCGGAGAGGCGATTGGGCAGAGCTGGATCTATTCCTTGAGATAGAGGGCTGTTGGCCACCCCAAAAACGTTGGCCTGAACACCTTCAACAGAAATCTAATGAAATGAACTCGACTATATAAACAGTCGATAATTGCCTTCTTGACCGACTTTGGTGTGTTTCAAAAAGAATTTTAAAGTGGCCCTTTCATCTTTCCATTTTTCTGGATGCGTCCCTCGAATAAAAGTTTGGACACCCTTGAGCTACACGGAAATGCGATCAACTCAAAGCCAAATGTTTGTGTCAGTGAGAGGTTTTTTTTTTCATTGCTAATTTGTCGTTTCTGCCTCACTTCCAACCTCAGTCGCTTGCACCGTTCACGCCTTCGACTGTGCGGCGAGAAAAATCAACTCTTGCAAGCCACCACCCTAATCCGCGCTTAATAGTTTAAATCCTTTTCTCTAATTGCTCTTCACCTCACAGGATTAAAAACGGGGAGCTGATGTGATTCCATTAATTGCCGACGCCGCCCTGCCAGCTCGGGAAAATTCACTCAGGTTTTTTTTTTTTTTTGTGGTTTGTTTTGAAGACCGTCAATCTTGCTGCGTCCCGACTTTTCCAAATTTTCCTTTGTGATGGCGAGAAAGAGGAAACAACGCGGCGGCTCGCGGGTCAGAACGGACCGCTTGCTTTCAAGTCTTTAGCGCGTGACGGACAAAAGGGCGTCGAGGTCTGACACGTTGGCTTCAGACTTGATCTCAACACGGATCGCTCACTTGCAACGTCGGGGGGCCTGAAAAGATTCCCCGCTATAAATCGCGGGAAGGGCAAAACGTGGGCGCCGGGCGATGCATTTTGGGTGTGACAGAGCTCGGAACACAAGTGAAACTTTGAAAGACGTTGCTGGAGAGAAGTGTTGGGAATTGCGAAAAGCACGTGATGTCATTGAACGCATCTTTTTGGAGCAAGACGCGATAAGACTACGAGGAGAAGGTTCATTTTATCCAAGAGGAGACTGAGGGCAGCGGGGAAACAGACCATCCCCGGCGTCCACGCCGCATCTGTCTCCCAAGTGTGGCAGATACGCACACAAGGTCCCCCCCCCGCAGTGATGAATGTGCAGCGATGCCGCCAACAACGCGGGGCTGGTAAACGTCGCCTCCGGCGTCCAGGGGGACCGCATGATTCTCATTTGTCCGTGACAGCGTCGTGAATCTTTGCCAACTTCCCTTTCAAGAGCGCACTTCATCTTCCCCGACGGGGCGATGACCCGATCGCACGCGACTACGGAAAACCCACTGGCAGCATGGAAAATGGAAACAAAAGTAAAATGCAACCCGAGATGCAAAGGGTCGCACGGAGGTGGAATATTTCCAATACATTTCCGGGAAGTGAATTTCCATTTTGGGAAAAGATCCAAATTGGAAGCGTTCCAAGGGCATTTATGGAAATTAACTGAGAATTGAGGGTAATTTCATGTAAAGGTTTCATACTCAAGCATAAATGAAAGTTTGCTTGTTTTACTCCAGATTATGCAAAACGATATTGAACTTTTCCCGCTCCGAGCTCATTTCTCGCATGTCAAGTTTCCAACTTTGAACATTTCCAGAATCGTTTCGTTGGACACAACTTGCTTTTCTCTCACGACGAGCTGAACGGCAACTTCTCTGCCTTTCTGTGACTCTTCCAGTCACTTTGCATCCCTTTGAGAACAGGACGCTGTTTGAATCCCGGCAACAGGCAAACAAGGCAAATCCCGCCCATCAGCGCACACGTCAACAACTCTAGCGTAGTTCCTTGAAATGTTTGATCGAACGGCTCAATCGGACAAATAAAATCGCCAGCGGCGGAAGAAAGCGAGTCAGCCCTGAAATAAAAAGTGTTTGCACACGCACTGTATCTTCCCAATCACTGACTTATTAAATGACTCCGGAGCTCGACAGCTGTTATCGCACTGTTTGCTAATACGTAACAGGCTCTCTGCGCCGTTAATCCCATTCATTACGACGCTTGTCAGGCGAGATATCAAATCCAGACAAGTCAACGCCGGAGGCGACGCGCGACGAATGACAACGCGGCGACTCACAAACTCAGCAAATTAGCTTCAAGTCATCATCCCCCCCCCCACCCCACCCCTACCCCGACCATTAAAAAGGCAAGATATTTCACACTGGAATAGCAGCTAATCAACATTTTCTTCTCAAGAACTCACTCTAAAAGCTAACAATCATTCCAGTCAGGCTACATTGCAACGCTGTCACTCTACTAAACACACGCACACACACATTCAATGAATGCCTCTATTCAGCAGATTTGGGTCCATTTGAATAAGAGGAACGGCTATTGTTGGCTCGCAAGGGTTCAAGGGGGGGGGGGGGAATTATAACTTATTTCCTGATGTAAATATTTGTTTTATAAACAGGGAGGCCATTTATTTAGATACAGCCCATCCCATAAATCTGTACTGGACTATACAGAAAGCCTATTATTAAGAAGAAAAAAAAAAAACATTTAGCAAAACTTAGCAGGTGCAGTACTAATGCATGTACTGCACCAGAATTGGGCGCTTGAAACTGCAAAGGGAAATCCAGTTGCATTTCACTTTTGCTTGAAGATACTTCATGGCCTGGAGGTTCGAATCCCGCCATTGTTGAAAAGCATTTGGAGTGACGCCAGGGTTCGGCCAAGCTGGGGTCGCTATGACAACGAGCTCCCCCCCACGATGAGGGGCCCTCATGTGAGAGGAGGCAAATGTTGGGGTTGTGCTCAGAGACGCTGCTACATGAGCGATTCCTGTTGGCTTGTCGGGGACTTCAAGAGACGGCTGATGTTGGTCCATATCAGCGACACAACTGGAAAGCCCATGGCGGTCTTTGGGAATCTCTCTCAGGGGACCCACTACGAGCAGGATGTTGTCAAACACACTGAAGACAATTTGAAGCGATCCTAGAAATCAGGACAGCAAAAGAAAGAAAATGGTCCTTGCCTGGGGTGCCTTGGGGTGGTCATGACAACGAGGCCCCCTCCCCCTCTCTCTCTTCGAGAGCTGAAGAGTTGGGGTCGTGCCCCCCCCCCCCACCCACCTCCAAAAAAAAGTGTCATTGCTTAAGCTAACACCAAAGCCAATGCTGCGTTGAACTGTCAACCCGTGAACGCACCACCAGCAACTTCCTCAAGTCGCTCTCGTCAACTTTACTCGCTCCGCGCCGCGGTGGCGACGTGGCCCCCGGACACATCCTGGCCGCTTGGGCCGCTCACCAACCACGCTCTCGCGGCTATTAAATAAAAGGCCAACGTCAGGACAACCACACAGCTCAAACACACATTCGGCGGATGTAAATGTAAGCGCAATCACAACTACACCGACCAAAACGAACACTGGAAGTCCTCCGGAGAAGCTCGCGTTGGTTTGTTTATTTACCGACACACATCCGCGTTACGACGACGCCATGACGGCGCCGCTTGAGCCTCACCTGAAGCTGCGGTCTGACACCCTGGCCGTCCGCCCCTGCCGCCGCCGCCGCCGCGTCCGGTGGGTTGTCGAACACCCGGTCCCGGTATAACGACCACAAGCCGACGTTGGGGAGGAAGATGAAAGCCGCTACGAGAAGCCCGGCGAACTGCAGCAGCCTTTTTTCCCTCCGCCTCATCTCACCGGGAGGGGAAAAAGAAGCGTAGGAAGAAGCGGCAGCGGGGGAACCAAGGAGAACCTCCCCCGAGAGTCCACGCTTCGTCTTGCGGTATCCGACTGGAGGGAAGTTCCACTCTGACAGCGGGACGGAAGGAGCCCGTCAAGCCCGGAGCTGTGACGCCGAATGGGCGCCAGCTGTCTGCCGCTAGAGGGCGGAAAGCCAAGCATGGGAAGGAGGAGGGAGGAAAGATTTTATTTTATTTTTTATTTGTGGGGTATTTTACTTTTTAATAAAATTATTTGTAATCAATACAACATCGACATGTCAAACAGTGATGTAAAAAAAATACCGACTTCTTTGCAAAATAAGGTGCGTGTGTACGTGTGTGCGTGTGTTGTTCCTCCTCTTGCCAAGATGGACGCAACTGAGGAATGATGGCAGTGACAGATTGCCTGATAAAAACGCTAATAGGTGCAAAGCAGACTTAAGAAGTTGATAAGATGTGTGAACAGAACAAGTAGCCACGCAGGGGTGGAGATAAGATTGGTTACAGGAGCTGAATCACAGGAAACACTCCAGATAAATGCACTACAGATAAAAGTGAGGGGCGGGGGGGGGGGGGGGGGGGGGGGGGGGGGGTGCCACCATCTGTTGCGTTCAAATGCACCTTGGAAATAAAGCACTCAAGAAGGCGTTGGGCAACCTATGGCACGTGGGCCTTAAGAATCATAACCTGTCAGTGAAATTATTTCCCAAAAATTAATGATTTATCAACAAATTATATATTTTGAGAAAATTCCTCACAGTGGAAAATCCACTGACAGTGTAATGCACAATGAGAATTAAATAGTTCATTTCTATTGTTCAAAAATGTCACTGTCACATTCAAATTATATATAATGCTGATTCAAACAAATACTCCAAATTAAGGATTCTAATCAAATACAACAATATTCTGATTGCATAGTATGACATCATAAACCGCAGCAATGATGCTACATCTACTTTAAAGTTCAACCAGGGCTAAGCTACTGTTAATTGTCTTTAGTAAACAAATGCAACAAGTGGTTGCGAGGAAAGTGGGGAGAAAAAAAAACATTGAATGACAAAAAAAAAAAAACACAAAAATCAATGCAAGGCGCATTGCAAATAAAATATGGGAAGGTATAAGTGTGAAGCATTGCAACGTGCTTCGTTGCGAAGATTGTGTCAGCGAGCGTCGACGACGACACCGCCATACTTGAAATGGAAGGAACGGCAAATCAGTGGCGAGCACTCTGGAGCTGCCTCTCCGGCAACCAAGCAACCGGGATCTGCCTCATTTGTATTCACCCTCTAGGTGTCTCTACTCTTATAGTTTTCATTCTGCTTGCTGGGCAATTGTCATTTTTCTGCTCCCGCCTCTTGTTTCGCCGGTTTGCCGCCCGAGCATGAAATGAGACGTGAAGCCGCTGAGCAAAGAGGAGAGATTACAATGTTCGCCGGGTCAAGTCTTTGAGGTCTGATTTGCAGCAAAATATTCACCAACTTCGTATGTTGTTACTTTTTCGTCAATACAATTGCATCATCATTTTTTGGTTGTTTTTTCATTCCGAAAAACATGAAGGAAAATAACTTTTCAGACATGGATTTAATTTCATCACTGAAATTTGTTGCTTACATAAGAGTAGCATTTTCCGGGTAATCGGGTCGCTATTAAAAATTCACTCAGCGGCTATCATGTCAAATGATAGCCGCTGAGCAATTTTGTTGTTGTTTGGACTCGTACGCATCCTCTGAAGACGTTTCCTCGATGCACTCGGAGAGATTATACAAGAAGATACCTTTCGGCCAATCGATAGGCTTGACTTACCCGACATTGTGTGTCGGAGTGGAACCGACGCTGACTAATTGTTGATCACAGGGCGCCTCGTGGAATGCGCTAACGGCTTCCTGTGCCAAGATGCCAATCAGGAGCAGGCCCGCCGGGCCAGTCAAAGCGTGTAAGCAAAATATGGGTTGCTCGACAATTTTATTGAATTTCTTTTGCCGGCTTGTCATTTTTATGAGCGCGAGCCAAAGGTTGAATACGAATTAGCCATTAGCATTCAGACGATAATTCTGCCCTGTATTTGTGCCCTATTGTTTAGTTCAACGAGCTGCGCCATTAATTGACTGTTGATTACGCAGAGCGGCTAATGGCTTCCAGCGCTAAGCCGTCAATCACCAGCAAGCCCACCAGGCTACTCCCCCCCGCCGCCCCCTCGGCAACTCACCTTGTTTTGGGTTTTTTTTTGTGTGTGTCATCACGATTCCATGCCTCAAGCCTAGTGACACAGGTTATAAAATAAAGGGCTGCTCAATCAACGTAAATCCCTCACCTCATTCTCAGATTTTTTTTTGGGGGGGTAGGGTGGGGTTCATCTATAATTCATGCCGAAGGACGCGGAAGAGATTGAATTGCCACAACTCACACTGGTAGATGGCAGGCCGCCGAGACAGAGCGTGAGCCATCCTAATCAGGAACAGATTAGTGCCGTGAATCGCAAATAAATAACTTTCACAAGGGGAGGCTTTCGACTACGTTGTCTTGCATATTTTGAAATTGGGACGAAAGAAAAAAAACGTGAGAAGCACAGGTGTACTGTTGCGAGGTGAAAAAAAATTAATTCGGAGAAAAAATGTTGGAATCACGAAAAAAAATTCTTGTTTTGAGGAAAAAAACGTGAGAAGCACAGGTGTACTGTTGCGAGGAGAAAAAAATCAATTGCGAGAAAAAATGTTGGAATCACGAAAAAAAATTCTCGTTTTGAGGGAAAAGTGATCATGTTAATGAGAAAAAAAATGGTGACAAGATGATAGCTGTAATGTGATGGTGGGAAAAGATGTGACGAAAAAAGTTGTAATATTGTGAGAAAAATGCTGCACTGTGACAAGAAAAAAAAAAAAAAAACGCCACGTCACGAATGCGCGCGCTTGCCACTGGAGGGGATGCGCTCGCTACTTACTCGCCGTCCAATAATGAGCCATGGACGTTTTTGTCCCAAATCGCCTCATAAAATCATAACGTACGTATCATTGGATGACATTTCTGACCTAGATTGGGCGTCTCGGGCGACGTTTACAGTCGGCGACATCTGCTCGCCATCTCATCTCGCTCCCCACGAGCCCTCCCTTGAAGGCTTGTTCTTTGGTGGGACGTTACATATGTGTGTGTGAGCCTCACAGATGCTCTACCCGGTGTTCGCCCGCCCATTAAAGCTGGCGTGATCCCATAAACGCAGATGTACTCCAAACGCCAATCTGGCGAACGGAAGAAGAGCTCGGTGTGAGAGTGACTCCAAAACATGCGCCGCGGTTCCATCCCTACCGATCCACGTTTAACCCCTGAAACTCATCGTGCGGTCGCTCGGTTGTTAGCTCGAGGTTAGTCGGGGTCGGTAGGTTAATTAAGAAGGCGGCGACAACCTCCAACGCGGCATTTCGGTGATTTTAGGCTCGGCCGGCGAGTCAGTGGTCATCTAAGTGCTGTCTGTGCATGAAACGGATGAAAGCCCGTCGCGCCGATGAAGAGGACGATGGAAACACTCAACCGGCCTTCACTACGAAGAATCCCACTGCCGCACCATTTCAGGGCCTTGGCCCAGGGCTGACGACAAACCCCGTTACCCACCCTGGCGGCCCCACCGTAACTACCTAGCTAGAGGTTAGCCGAAGCACATATTTCAATAAGTGAAGCAAATCCACCACATTTCAGTTCCGCGCCCGCTGATCAACATTCGCACGTTCCCTAGTACAAAATATATAACGTTGAAAGTCCGTCCTCTGTCGGTGCATCATGGCTCAGCCCAACGACTCGTCACGGCATTCAATGCGTTTTCACAGCTGCGAGTCCAGATGACGCCATTGGTGGCCGTCTATTGCACGGGACCGAACCCCGGAGTGCGGCGAGGTGGCGGGGGAAAGTGCAGAGAAGGCAGAGTGATGGCTCCTTATCGCCCGGTGTTGCCATGGCGATCGATACGTCGCCGCCAGGGTCGATTAGCGCCGCCGTGACTCTCACCTTCCTCGTCCATCCTCATTTCACTTCATAGATTTTTATCCCCCCCCCCAAGTGTGAGAGGTGCCATAAAGAAAGTGCACGATGGTAGGCGTGTGCTGGTATTAGCAGTGGGCTGTGTCATTGCTGTTTTTACGGCGGGTGACGCTTATGGATGAGGTGCAGATTTGGACGGTTACATTTAGCGACCGGGAATTTAATCGCGCTGTCTATCATGAGGAGCGCCACAAAAAAAAAAAAAAAAAACCCTTGCAAGAAGCCACGCCTGAAAAGACACAGGAAGTCGGCCATTTTGGTTTGAAGCAAACCATTTCCAAGTCAGTTGCAGAATTTTGGGAAAACGTTGTTGCCCCTGAAGTCAATTTTATTTAACAAAAGGAAAATCGGTAGGCCTCCCTATCATGAGTAGTCCCACGAAAAAAAAAAAATCTCAAAAAGCCATGCTTGGCCAGACCCAGGAAGTCTGCCATTTTGTAGCCTAAACTTGGCCCATTTCCATTGGGACTTCAAAGCCAAAATTGGCGCGGAGATTTTATCCGATTGTTTGAGAGGATTACATTTTAGTCCTATATGGACCTTGCGGGAAAACCATGTAACGAGGAAGTCAAAACTAGCAAGTCATCTTTCAATGCAATTAATATTCAGTCTTGATTGAAGCATGAAAAATAGTACGGAATGCTCGGCTTTAGATGTCCTGCGAACCGACGATGTACACTCACAGCGCACGTTGCCGATATTGATCTTTTTTTTTTCTTTCCGCCAGCATATTTCAAGGCCGTGAGAAGTCGCGCAGGGAACGTAAACATATAAACACTCCCATATTAATGCCGCGCTTCGCATTGAGGAAAGAGGGGAAGCGCATGAAAGGGGATCATGCATTAATCATGGTCCGCCGCATCGAGCCGACGCACACGCGCACGCGACGAGATCAAAAAGCGCCGTTTAAATCATCTTAAGTCTTGCGAATGTTTCCCCGCGGTCTTCAGGGAAGGGAAGGGGAAGGGGGACAAACAAGTGTGTTGGTTTATTTTGTACAAAAGCTCTTCATGTACGTATACAACTCATTTGTGTTTGTTTTGTCTTTGGAGAAATGAACTTAGCCGCACTTTCGGGGTTTTAATTCCGATCCGGCCAACTTTGGGCCAATTCCTTCAATTCAAGATGGCCGACGTTCTGTCAAATTTCGGAACCTGGGTC